CGAAAAGTGCTGTAATTATCGATGAAAACTCGTCCTCACAGCCACAAAAACGTGGCGTCAAAAATGACACCCGCACCTACTACTACTACTACTACTACTACTACTACTCCTACTACTCCTACTGCTGCTGCTGCTGCTACTACTATTACTATTTCTACTTGTACTTGTACTTCTGCTTCTACTAGTCGACTGCGACTGGGACTTCGACTACGACCTTTCCCCCACCCCACTGCGGCTAGTTTGGTGCCTGGGCAGAGTTGGGCTCAACCCCCAATCCCCACGTAACCCTGAGAGCCCCAACAAAAATCTGAACGAACCCGAAAAGCCTGATGCCGATACCCTATGCGAAGCCCAAAGCCCTATACACGCCCTAAGGGAACAAAGATTCAGTTCCTCCATCTTCAGTATTTGCTAAAACATAAGAATAGTGACATGTGAGCATCCGTTGGTGTAATCTGTTATTCTCTGTAGTAGGGAAGGTCGAAGTGGCCTTCCTCGGTCTGTCACACGACTTCTTGATCGAGCATCACCAGGCTCAGTCTATGCTTTGTTAGTGGGCTGGGGCGGCGTCTGCGCTGAAATGGCTAAGGAGGAGCACTTAAGCACCTCCTGCCGCCACACCACGCTTCTGGGGCACAGAAGGGCGTTCAGATAACTCCACACGTGCCATCTGCAAAAAGCAGCAACGGCGGCAAGACAACTCGGCGTCAAATATGATCCCTCCCTATTGACTTGCAGAGGGCGCGCGAAGTGACCGCAACTTCCCAGTCGAGTTTTGCCAGCAATCCCAGACATTCTACAGACATTCTACTCAGCTTGCCTTCAAATAACCCTGGACCCTAGTTGAGCTTCTCTGCTTTCTGGGAGCAACTCTCTGGAAGGCGAATTCCGCTTGCATCTGCCTGGAAAAGCGGGACTTTCGCATCGGAGGTCCTCCACGTTCAGAGTTGCCAAACGTCGCGCGAGCACGCTCGGCTGCTTGGCCTAGGTGTGGCCTCTGAGAAGCTCAGCCGGTGCCGCAGGTCCGGGACAGCTAGTCTAATGTTGCACCCGTCCTGCTGATGTTGTTTTTAGTACAGTATTCGTATCAGTATGAAAGTTAGCATTAGTATTAAGATGAGTAAGTACTAAATATTAAAATGAGCATTTGTAGCAAAAGCTCCGTCTGTCTTAGGACATCTTATCAAGGTAGAGAGTACCAGGTTTCCTGGTTCTCGATGCTGGGAGTACCCTCTTCCTGAATGTGAAACAGCATCAGTAGCATCGGGTCTGCTACACATGTTGAGAAGGAATTCCCAGCGATAGTCTCTAAAGGGTGCTGACGTGGCAAGCGCGGCCGAGCATCTTTGTATGATCTGCTTTGATGCTCTTGCTGAGGGTACGTGGCTCGGCATTGCATGCCATGTCACTTTGCAGCAATGTAGTGCAAGTCTTCTGCACTTGCACTTCAAGACCTGCTGGCACCTACTCAGGCGGACATGTGGTGACATCCGAATCGTGGAGCAATCTGAACTCGCTCAAGTCCCACAGCCTAGCAGAAGAGGTTCTGTACATAAGGTCTTGCCAGTCGGCAGAAACAAGGCTCTTCCAAAAAAGCCCTAGCCACAGGCGAGCCGTGAAAGGGACGCTGGACTGTCCATTGTGTGAAGAGCACTGTTTAACATTTCGCTGCTCTTCCTCCGGAAGTCCCCGCAAGGGTTGGGCAGAAGCGCATGAAGCACGGCCTCAGTGAGCTTATAAAGCAACCTTCCAGCACAGCAACTGCATGCCTCGAAAGACGGCGCCCTGTGAGTAGTCGGAGCAGATCTGCCGGGCTGCGCGTAGGGGCACTCTCAGGCAGAGTACCTGGAGGCAAGCCCATGGTTGCGGCCGTACCGTAGATCTGCTGGGCAAGGCTTTGCGGCTCATGACTCATGACTGCAGAAACTGCGATACTTCTATCCGTGCAATCCCCACGACAGTGACGAAATACGTCACTGTGTCCAAGCACTCTGTCAGATGCAAGCTGTTGGCCTTCCAGATTAATTAATGCTGGGACGACGTTAACGAAAATAGCTCTCCGGCCATGCAGGCAGTTGAATCAGCTCAGGTACTCCTGCACCCAGTGGAAGCTCTCCACCTGCAAGCCGGCACAGACAAAATCATAACCCAGGCCTTCCTCGTTTTTACAGCTTTCATGCCATGAACTTTCTTATGGTGGTGTGACCCTGGGGTCTGCATGCAAGGCCACTTTAAGCGGCTGCGGGCGGCGGGGATGGCCCAGCAAGGTCCTGCAGGGCTCGGCATGCAGCTCACGTGCTCAGAGAGTTTAGACCCTGCTGCTACACCTGGTAGAGGTCACATATCAGACTGAGATGGACGCAGACGGACGCCCGATGTCTGGTATGCTCGCCGAGGATCCGATACCAGCTGCAATGCAGGTGCAGCGGCTGCAGCACGTCAAACATTGGCTTCCTGAATCCGGGCTTCAGAGCTGAATTCTAGAAAGAAATACAACGGTTTCAGACGGTCTCGCGTCTGCGACATGCCCGGGCCACTAGCCCATAGTGGCCTGTGACTGCCAAGAGGCTCACGCTGACAAAAGACCACGATGCGGTTCCCGAGATCACAGTACAGCGCGAGGCCAGCCGCAACCTGTGCGTGGAGGCCACTGCTGCTGTACAGTTCCCGATGCGATCACAGCCGTGGGCTCTGCGGGCTAGACACGAGTCCAATAGACAGCATCGAGGGAGCAGATGGCCAACGATGGTCGATCAGCACCTGCCACAGACCAGCAGGAATTGTTTAAATAAGCAACTGGCCCTGTAGAAAGCCTTTTTCCAAAGATATCTTCATGCAAAGTCTCGGCCTTGTCTTCCACGTAGTCTGAAGTATGACGTCATGATGATCCCAACCACCAAACTCACTAAACCAGCAGCAAATACTGCAAGCGTCTACATCCAGGTAAGAACGAACTCAGCCCCGCATAAAAAACTTCCGAGAACAGGTTGGGTCATCCCATGGCTGGTTCCTGTTGGGGCAAACGTTCGGCATTGGATTGCGCTTCTTATGATTTTGAATTGGCAGAGTCGGCACCTTTAAAGTCCCGGTCAACAGCAGGCTGACGACCATCAAGATCGCTTTGTTTACACTTCCCAGATGCTTCGTGACGATGCCAACCTGGGAAGGTTGCTGCATCATCTAAGAGCATCTGCGCTCAAACGGCAAAGATCCTTAAGCCATGCCACGAGGATGCCCCCGCCAGCGTGTGTAAACAGTGGGAGCAGTGTTGCCCACGTCCAGCCACAAAACCTTTCCGCAGTTCCTTGCTCCAGCATGGTGAAAGGAAAGGTGACGAAGAGCGTGCCAAGACCTCCAAGGGCCAGCTCCGCGGAAAGCAGGAACCTTTAGGGCTCGGTCACCACGTCAAAAAGGTGTCATAACGAGCGAGTGGTCTTACACTTTCCGATGGCCATGGGGCGGATCCCTGCCCTTTACCAAAGCTTCCTCGGTGAGGACTGCTCCGAATGCAGAGCACATCGCCTCGGGTCGCAAGGGGCCGACGGCCCACGTCACGAGCGGGCAATCTCCTTTGCAAGCTGCTGACAAGATGCCGCCAAGCAGGCGCAGGCAACTCCTTGACATCGTACCCAGTAGGGCTCTGCTCGCAAGCCATCACCATCGCAAGCCGTCAGCACTGAGGCAAGGAGGATCATTGTGAGGGCGACCTGTGCGAAACATCGCTAAGCGCTCCGAGCTTGTCGCGACAGCCATCAGCACATTGTTATGCAAACCAGGCGGCCCATTCACGGAAGGTAAACTGTCGTTGCTTGCGGAGAACCACAAAAGCAGCAGTCCAAAGCAGCTTCGTCTGGTTGAGAACATTGCATGTAACCGCATCCAGCGACTTGTTTGCAGCTGTCCCAGCAACGTTCTGCAAAGCCTCGGGTTCTGCTCCGACGGAGAGGCCTTACAACTTACAGCCTTACTGAGCCTTACTGTCGTTCGATGCATCGCAGGAGCATAGGCCATTGCAGGCCAGATCGACTCTCGCAGTCCGATCCTCGGCCGAGCTTTCACTCTGCCAAGCTTGCAGCTCAGCTACCTCTAGGATCCAGCTCGTGTAGACGAGCCACCGCCATGTCCAGCCCGTAAACGCTCTGTGCCATTTACCGGCAACCACGAGGAAGCACAAAGAAGCCACGAGCTTTAGCAGCTCTGCTGCTGCGACGTAAGAGCCTCAGTAATGCGCCACAAAGCCAGATAGGGCCGGGCCGGGCTGTTCTTCCTGCAGCCAAGCGGCTGATTACGAGGCCGTCACTCGTAAACTTCCTTCAGTCTCAGAAAGCGTGCGCCAGATGAGATCATAAAGCGGGCTGCTTCTCTGCCCCACAAGGGCTTGTTTGTAGAAAGTTACACTGGTTGCGCAGGTTTGCCAGCCTTGTGAGGTACGGCTGCGTCGCAAATTGCACGGAGAGCAAGACACAAAGCACCCAGGTCACCATTCCGACAGTTACAAAAACACTGAAGACGAGGACTTGATCTCTTGGCTGGGAAGAGATTTAATTCACTGTCATGCATGGGACCATGCTAGGTGACCAGATCTTGTCAGGTCACCTGAAAGCGGGCAAGCTTTCATTCACACGTGATCCCAATGGACATGAACAAGACACATCATTATCCATGGATGACCTTGAGCCGAAATTGCCAACACCTCCAGTGCCCCCAAACACAACAACTGCAACCTGACATCGCCGGATACCGCCAGTGTCTGAGTGTTAAACGCTTGCTTTCCAGCGATCCAGCTCCTGCTCATGCACGCCATCTGTCGCACACAACAATCAGGTCTTGGCCATAGATCTCCTTCGATAGGATAGCGTCAGCGACTCGTTCCATGTGCCGGTCCTGCTGACTGTGAAAGCAAGGATTTGCGACTGCTCTCTGACTCTCTGCTACTGCTTCTCCTCAGCCTGCTCTGTGAAAAGAAGATGGAATCCGTAACCAGTACTAAGCAGTAGGTCGACGCCATGATGGGCCAGTAATGCAGCTATCTAATGTAATCACATATCCCTACATCTATCTGCAAATTGGTTCTGAGTGTGAGTGTGAGTGGCGAGTCTGAGGATGTGTGGGTGTGTAACGGTGTGTATGTGTGTCTCTGTGTGTGAGAGAGAGAGTGAGAGAGAGAGAGAGAGAGAGAGAGACGGAGGGAGCAAGGGAGGGAGGTAGGCAGGTAAATATGCAGGTCGGTGGTGGCAAATATTGAAAACAGGCAGACATAATGCGCACACGGATCTACCTGCTCGCTCGTGTCTGGGCCGTAGTTTCTTGGCACTTCTGCGATGCATCGGCGACGTCCAGCACGGTGCCTTCAGCGAAGGCGATGATGCAGACTGGGCTTCCCTAACGGCCCCAAACCGCACCCCATTGCAGCCACTGAGCTCACGACAAGCTACGTACAGCTGAGATCTCTTCAAAGCCTCGGCCTGCCCCGGACTCTGGGATCGCATAGCAGGGCGCAGCAGGGTACCCGTCGGCCTTGATGAGGTTGCTCCCACTTTGCACTAACACCTCAAAAACGGTATCTCACGAGGAGAAATTGAAAGAATCGAGTGAGCGGTCGGCACGCAAGAACAGCGCAGCCATTTCGCCACGTCGTGCCTGGACACGCTCCGTGTGCACCACATGCATGCGAGATGCGCCATTCGTACAGTCTGCGTGTTGCTTTTACCTAAGTAGTTCGAATTCGGCATTGCGCAAGCTTGGGCGGCAGATGCCCCTCAAACCTAATTTGTAGCCACCTGCTATCGCAGATCTTCACTCTGCAACCCAACCCGACTACAGAACCTCACACCGACCTCAACTATCCATTAAAGCGGCTGAAGCCGTGCCGAAAAGCCCCTCGCTTCGACTTCTTTTAGCTTTATCGGACTTGCTGCTGCTGCTGCCGCTGCTCTTGATTGGTGGCTTTGTTGCAAATGGCATTGCAGGGGTACCCAATACCGCAGATTGGCACCAGCAAACATTGCATTTGATGGTCCTAGTCTAGGTCCTAGTCTATACACCTCCTCCTGTCACATGCGTGCAATGACCGCATGCTGTATGCATTGCTTCAGTGTTGTTGACCCTTAGCGGCACAAAATGGAAAACATACAAACATACATACCTTCATACATACAGATCATACTCATACTGGTGCTCAGTCTGATACGCATACTGATACACATGTTCATACTCATGCAGGCACACTACAAACAACCACACTTATCACACCACATCCCATCATACTATCGGATACTCTCGCATGACATGAACATACCTCGCTCGTCATTGTCACAGAGTCACACATACATACTGATAACAAGGACACGAAAGGATCATAAGACAAATCTTGCTTCACATACACACTCTCCAAAGCCCCACGACATCCCACGACGTGACGGCCGAAGGCGCCTGCTGTGTGTGAGCATAGAAGGCCTCGGAGGCAGACATCGAAGGCCTTCCTGTGACGCTTTCAGCCAACAGCCAGCCCCGGGCCATGCTGCAGACTCCAGGCTTCACCGACTCCCCGAGCGCGCCCCTCCAGGCCTCACAGCGCTGGCTTTTCTGGGATGTGCCATGGGGCGGGCCTTGTGTTCTGCCGCGGCACTTCTGCAGACAGCTGCGGAGGCTCTGCGCCATCCTCCGGTTGCAAGCACAGCACCGCACGTGAAGCTTGGAACGGCTGAGCCAAGCACCGCAAATGCATCAGCTGCACTGTGAAGCGCATCCTGCGGTCTGGCTGCGCATACTGCCAACTGCATGGAACCTGCCATGGGTAGCTTATCAGGTCAGCAATACCCTTTCAGGTCAGTAGGCGCCTCAGACCTCAGAAACCTCGAGATGCAGTTGAGCCATGGTGAGCCAGTATAAGCAGCCACAACAGCATGAGTCAGTACGGGCGAAGGATATCAAGACGATTGCAGACGTACCCGTATGTCAACCGCGAAGAATCATCTGAGGTCGGCACACCGAGATGCGAAAACCACGATACATCAGAACAAATAATAAACAGCAAAAGCGACAAAGCTTGAGCACACATGAAGAGCTCGAAACATGCGAACTGGGGCAGGCCAGGTTTTTTTTTTTGGCCCAGGGTTAAGGACATTACCTCTTACCGTCTCGAACTCCGAACCTGACCCTAATGCCTCAAACTGCGCGAGATGGCACAACCCAACTCAAAGAATCCCGTGACAGCCACGAAAAATGAATACATCCTTTACAAATAGGCGTGAAGACTGCTACTACGAGACATGCAGGCTGAGACCAGCAAGAAGTTCTTGGTCCTGTGCTGGTAGGGAAGCAGACCACGTCCGCTTTGCCCAGAGCCGGATAGCTCCGTCTGCTCCTCCGGTGACCTTGCAGGAAATTCATGCCCTGAGCGCTTTTACACTCTCTTCACAGAAAGGCAAACTGCTTCTCGTGAAGTTATTACAGCGGCAGCAGCAGCAGCAGCAGGCAAGGGCTCACACATGCTTCGGATTGACTCACGATTGAACGCACTAGCACGAAGAGTATCACAGAGCCCGTCACAAAACGACCATCTGCGCACTCCGCCAAAGCTGTGACACGGTCAGTGTGACCTTGGGCGCGAGCAGGCACAGCACGACAGGCACCGCAGAGGCAAGACGGAGTTTCCAGCGCGCAGAGTTTCCGCTCCGCGTTACTCTCAGGGCGCTGCCATAGAGAACCCAAGAAACCGTGGCCGTGCAAGGGTCGATGAGGTTCACATCACTGCCTGCGACTCCGGCGGCCCGGCTGACGGCTGCCGCAATCCAGAAATGCAAAGTGCCTTTGAAGCCCACAGCGAGCAATCCGTCGTGTAACTCAAGACCTGAAGCCCCGGCGCCCATGCAGGTCACGTAACTGGCTTGAATGAGGTACATCGTACGTTTGCCAGAAAGCTGTTCTCCAGCAGGTCGCACTGCACGCATGGGCATGTTGAGGCTGCTTGCTGCCGATCTTTCCTTGCCACTTAGGGCCTGGCAACTGGTGATTGCCGCTTCGGACCGCCACTCACTGATTAAGCTGACCTGCACTGCCAGGCTCCGCAACCAGAACACTGCAGTCTCAGACGCTGCTCGATGGGCACAAGAAAGCTTTCAGCGACACAAGCGCAATCAGTCTTACCGGAGCGCCTGCACAGCTTTCGACTGACAGGAACATACTACTCAGCACATTTTCCATTACAGCGAGGGCGACAGGGCGCACCGTTGAGTCTGCCACAAAGCACGAGGCATGTGGAACTGATCACTCGCAGACATGCAGGTGAACGAAAATGCACCAGCACCAAGCACCTATGCTTGGGGAATTCATCTGCTGTGCTAGTCGAGCACCTGGCCTCAGGCATGCATGCAGACTTCCAGAGCTGTGGCTTAGTTGATGCTTGCTAAGCACGAAGAAGCCGCAAACTCAAACCTGGGAATCTCTTGAAGTTCCATGGGTGTCGCTCAGCCAGTGGGTTACCAAGCTGCCGAGCCCCAACGATACATCCATAAACATGAGCACAGGAGAGTTAGTCTCCTCGGCCCTCTCGAGCTCCAAGAATTCTTGACTTGATGGACATCTTGTTTCAGCAAGCTCGAACAAAGGCTCCAGAGGGGTTGATCTTCAACTCGGGAGACTCTCTCAACCGTGTCTTCTAGACTGGTTTAGGCCTCGGAGTCATGAGGAAAAGGAGCTTGACGCAGTTGCACCAATTCAGGCTGAACTGCTTTCACTATACGGATTGCCCAAAGTTCCCGTTTCCTCCAGGCCGTTGAGATCTCGTTATGCTTATCGACCAAACTGCCACATTCCGTCCAGAGTCCAGAAGGCTTCGTGGACTGCTGCCACTCGCCTTGACTTATCGTTTATAATTTATAATCGTATATCAGCCATGAGTATCACTACAGGTCACTTTGAGGGCTACTATACATAGCACAGGACACCCCAAAGAACTAAGCGAGCGCCAATGGGGGCAGCGTCACTCTCACAGAGGACTCAGCCTGCACATCAGAAAGCTTCGCACTGCTTGGGGCATTTTGAGCCTTTCCAGGGAGCCTGGGGCCTTGGACTCGTGGAAGGTTGGGCGAATGACCTTTCAGCGACCCCAAAAGCGGGCCTTGGGCTGCCTCGGCGACCGCTTGGACAATGCGAGCCCCAGGGACATGCGAAGCGCTTCGCCTGGCATCTCAAGCCCGAGCCACGCCTTTTCTAACCTGGCCTAGACCACTACAGAGTTATGTGGCCGTAGACCTATAGGGGCTGCCAGAAACACTGGAGCAGCCCCGGGCTCCTAAGACCCTTGAGTCCAACATGGGATTCGAGGTGGCAACACGAGTCACCCCCAAACTGCACACGGCACTGGGAAGCTGAGTCCCCTCCCAAAATACCTCCCGGCAGTCCAAGACCCCTAGAAGGGTGAGACATCATGCAGGAGAACAGGAATGGTATGGTCCCGCTGCACTTTAGCGGTTTCGGGCGGCTTGAAGACCAAATGAGGATGGGACTGTGGCGGAAGCATGATGCAACTTTTCACGTCAGCGTGGCTGGAGCGCGAGTAGCCCCGTATAGTACAGCAGGGTAACAAGAACCCGTGCAGCATGTCATGTTTTATCTCGCACCGACTAGAGCTACTCGTGCCATTACAGATCGTATGTACTCACCGTTGCTCTGATCGCCTGGTACTCGGTCCTCCCCAGCCGTGGTGGCGGTGCTGTCGGGGGATCCCGACACGTAGCCCTTGTAGCCCTTGAGCACACAAGATTTGGAGGCGACAGCAGTAGTCAGGCTCCAATCTTACGTGAGTATGGCTGCTCGGAACCGAGTTGCCGCGTTCCGAGACTGTACACTGCGGATGGCTTTCTCGACGTTGGCCAGCTTTCGACCCACCTGTTCAGGCTCTGTTGAAGATTCTGGACCCGAGCTTTCAGGACATGTCACGCATTCGGATCACCACTCGTCTACCCTGCATCGGCGAAACAGCATGCAGAGGCGACTCGCAGCGACAGCGATACCGTAACAGCAGCTTCAGGGTACAAGAGCACAAGCCGCTTCAAAAAGCTCAGGGCCTTTTGCAGCGCCTTGGCGGCTTCGTGGTTTCGTTCCTCGAGGCAGTCAAGTCAGGGCGGGGAAAAGGGAGAAACGAAAAAGAAGCGCACCGTTTCTACCGTCTTTTCCAATGCACTGAGCCAGGGAGCTTCGAGCTGACTCAGGGACTCCTCCGCCCCCTGCAAGCTGGAGGAGACCCTTAGCGATCATCGAATCTTCTTTCATGGCTTCCCTCCAGTTTTGGACTTAAAGCGATTAAGAGGGTTTCTGCAGTACGACCACGCGAAACTGCGGGCCACTTGAGCACGCAACCTTGCTAAGTGGAATGAGCTGGTGAGGAAAGAAACTGCAGCGTGCCCCTCCTCTTGCTCAGGCAGCCGCTGCCTGCATGCACCATGCACGACCGTCAGCCGGGAGTCCTCGGGTTTGCAAACGCCATGTCGAGTCTTACAGACTCGCTCCTCACCATCGCCTGCAGTGTCTCTGCACAACTACTGCGACAGACTTACTCTGAGCTGCCGGCCCCCTGTGCTCCCTGGCACAAGACAGGGATTTACTGAGTGCTGCTTTCGGCTACGCGCTCGCACGGATCGAAAGGAGTGCAAAACATCGTGGCTCTGAACGACCACGACCAGCACGAACAGAACAACACCACGACTGGTTTTTCCCCTCCTGTCCTACCTAGCCAGGACAAAGCCGGCATTGCAGGGTAACTCCAGAACAGTGGACTACAATGGCCAAAACACCATGGCCTGCAAAGCCTGCAGGTGATGATCTGACCAGACTTCCGAGAACTGCTTCAGCAACGTCTGGCGGGAAGCGATGACGGCTTCCTGTCGACTAGAGCAATTATGCCACAACCAATCTCAAAAGCAGCGCGCACACTAGCTTTACTTTGGTGCAGCATCTGCTCGGAGTGAGAGACGGGCGACGAGCGAATTACGGGAGTTACTTGCAGCGGTCGACTCACACAATTGGGGCAACGTAACATGACCGAGGACAGTCTGGGCTCCTCCACCAGAGTGGACTGCAAGTTGGCAATCTCGTCCTGCAAAAGGACATCTTGCTTTGGTGGCGTCCCAAATAACACGGATTGGAGTTACACAGGCACGCAAACCAGGTCCCATGGACCGCTGGAAGGTGCTCGGCATGTTGCAAGCATCCCTATCACGGCACACAGTTGAGAGCCAGCCAGCTCCGTCTCCTTGCACTCTCGGCTTCTTTGTATTAAACTTCTCATGCAGAAGGCCCAGTGTACCACCACTGCAACTCTCATGCAGTTGATTTCTACAGGCTTGGCCTCTCTTTCCTCAATGCCCAAACGGAGACCACATCTGTCAGCGTCCTGCAAGTGCTTCTGCACCTCCGCCGCACCGAAGTGGTTCACAACAGGCTGAGTGGTGATGCGGCCTCGGGGTGATGCTGAGTCGAAGCAATCATGTCGCAAAGCCAACCATGTTGGTAGTCCGGAGCAGGCAACATTCAAGAGGCACTCGCTGCTTTTTGCTCCTTCTCCGCGCCTCCGACCTCCTACAATACGGCGGAAAGTCAGGTTGACACGGCCTCCGAGGCAGCTTGGGTCCTTGTCATCAGAAAAGTATATGCTCACGAAGGTCCCCCGATATTTCCTCATGCTCCATGCAGGAAAGGCTCGGGAGGAAGCGAATGCTGCCAGTTAGCCTGCATGGCGCCTTGCACGTGCAAAACAACGAAGCGGAATCGCACATGCACACGTGGTCTGGCGTCTTGAGCCCTGTCCCCTGCAGGTCCTCCCATTACCAGCAGCGACCCTGGCTGCAGCAGAATTCGTTGCAGCTGCTGCGCGCTGCCTGGGATGGAACTGCGCACCGGTGCGATGGACACAACGCTTCCTCTGCACGAAGTCATGCTGTGCTGAGTGCTCGGCGGTCGGTGTCGCCCCGCCGTGGCTTCCGCCGCACTTCGAAGACACGGGCCGCACCGAAGGACAGCGAGCCTATACAGTTTCAACCGTATCAACGCGTCCAAACGCATGTGACCATGACAATATCGTGTCATGGCTCCGATGAGGATGTTGTCCGAAGGTCCATAACAATTCCTCGGAGGAGGGTGTGGAGCTTTCTAAAGGAGTGCACAGGGTGTACATGAGCGCTTGACCACGAAACTGGGAACTTCAACTCAGCCGGCCACTCATCATCTGCATGCCATTTGATTTGAGCTCTGCCATCTTTGTAAAAATTCACGAGTATCTGGCCAGCTGACAGCTCCATCATGCAGCAAGGTTGCACCAGAACACACTCTTCTGACATCCTCCCGGTCAGGCTTGGCTCCCCACACTATTGAAGAAAGGCTGCGACAGGTCTGGAGAATTCTTTGTCTCACCTCAGTCGGATTACAACGCCTCGGAGCATGGTGAATGTCCATGCCGTGTGCGACATATGTAGTGGCAGGGCACCAAGCGACTCATGCTCCATGGCTAAGACTTTCCCGACTTCTTCCTCAACCATCCGCTGCAAGCTCAGGATGCATTGTAAGTTCCTGGGAGCAGCCGTTGCGAATGAAGCACCGCACCATGGCACCGCGCAACGGGCCAGCTATAATACGATCTTGCGAAGCGTCTCAAGCGGTCGCCCCGCTAAGCACCAGCGAGGATTGTACCGGAAGTCGATTGCCTGGAGGCCTGCATCCGGGACCTGATGCACAGCCGCTTGAGCTGGCTTTCCTCACAACTCTCGTGCAGAGGAGCGTCAGCGTGATCAAAAGTACCCGCTGCATAAAACTGGGCGCGCTCATTCTCTGCCGAGGTGTCCTAGCAACATGCAGCAAGCCTGTGGGGAATGGGGAACGTCTGAGTCTGCAAAGCAGTCGCTAGGTTCCTTGGGCGGAGTCGGCATCGTCAGTGTGCTGTTCTGCAAAGCAGCAGTCAGCTCGTCATACCATGCGCCGGGATCTTTGTCACCCGTTATCATTGGGATATAGTACCTTGTTGGGCAAAACACGAGGGACACTTCCCGTGGAAGCTGTCAACACACTCATGGAATCTCCAGGATGACTTGCATCGTGAATGCGCACGACGACTGACTTGAAATTACATTCCCATCACAGGCACATGAAGCTTCTCTCATCCAGTTTCAGAATCACTGGATCTGGCCCGCCCAGCAAACGTTCGACCTGCCTGATTAGAGAACCCAGCTGCACTTGCAAAAGCCGGCGTCACACTCACAAATGCGACTTTGATCTTCGATTCGAGGTCTCCTGGATGCATCGCCGTCAGCGCCGTCGCAAGCAGCCATTGGCTCGCCATTCAGAGGCACGACTCCGGGGTGTGTGACGTTGCATGGCCGGCATAGCCATCTGCGTGCTCAACTCTTGCTTCTGCATGCATGTTTTGTGCCTGCGCTCTCCACCTGAATCTGAGCTGAGGCAAAGAGTGGCAAAGAGCCTTTCAAACAGCCAGTTCAGGTTGACGAGTTCCTTTGCCCCCGGCCAGTGGACTCGAGGAAGCGGCAGGTGAGGATGTTCTCATCGAAACCTGGTCTCGCGCTTCCGAGCTAAAGCAACTGCCCACACGGCAAAGGAACGCCTGCGGAGCTTGGAGTCAAGGTCGCCAGAAGAGTCGTTCGGCTGTTGCTTGCCAGGCTGTCGGAAAGCCTCGCCATGCTTCTCCCTGTCTGCTCTACTCCTCTGGTCTAGGACAGTCTAGCACCATGCTCTCAGGCAAGGACAGCATCGTCAGTTTGGAGTTCCTGAACAAAGCTAAACCAATTCTGCTTTCCATGGGCACGTGGTCGTCTCGAACCTATGAGAGACAAAGTGGGGGATCATATGACGACTGTCCCCCTGCCTAAAGGGCACGTGGTCGCGGTTGCCGTCGCAGAGCGCATGGATACAACTCGCGAGGTCGAAGAGACTCCGGTTGATGTGCCTGCATTGCGCGGTGAGACGACGCTTCGTTTCCCAGAACCTCATGTTGTGCGAAAACACGGCCTGAGCTCTCGGAACCGGTCGCCCTTGCATTCTGATGTCTGCTCATTCTCGCGGCCGGCCAGATCAACGACCTGCAGGCCAAAGACTGAGAATAGCTCTTGTCTGGGCATCGCCGGCCGCCGCAGGCCTGCACGGTTGACATATGGTCTCCATTGGAGGCATTTCGGACTTCAACCTGCGAGGTGATCAGAGCCCCAATCCATGTCTCCCCTCCACTCACGCGATGCGTCTCCTATCGCGACAAGTATCTGAATCTGTGTATGTCAGAAGTTCACCTTGAACATGAAGATGGTGTGTGAACGACTGGATCGGTCGTTCATCGTCGTCCTCGGTCAGCATGGAGAAGGCACTCCACACTGCAGGATTGCAACGAGAGGCTGCAAGAGAGAGAGTGAGAGAGAGAGAGAGAGAGAGAGAGAGAGAGAGTGAGAGAGAAAGAGAGAGATGCAAATGCATTTGACAAACTTCGGTGTCCTCTCCATCTTCTTGGCCTTCTCTCCTGCAAACCGGACTGGGTCTGCGCTTCGCAGCGGTCCACACAGTCGCCTTTGGAAACCAGGCGAGCAACGTCCCGAAGGTGTTCCACAGGTAGCTCCTGGACCGATGCTTTCTCTTTACCCTTGGCTGCGCCATCTCAAGCGCAGCTTTGACCGTGTGGCAGTGGAGAGGCCTGGAGGTTTTCGACGTAGACCCCAACAGCTGGATGATTCCGTATCTCCAGACGAGGGCCTGCAAGGAAGGATGCACAACTTGGCCTGTAAACCCACCGCCTCTGAAAGCAAGGAACGGCATGTGCCAGCAAGGTCCTGCCGCAGTTCCCGGTTTTGAAATCCGGCGTGGGCTAGGGCCTGGCTTGAACCAGCGGCTCTTCCGCGTAACTCTACGACACTGCAGGTGTGGCAAAATTGAACAACCAATCTGAGGGCTCGGCTGTCGTTTTCGGTCCGGGACAGGCTTGGCCCGGCATGCTCCAAGAGATCACGCAAGCGGTCGTTATAAACCTCGTTCAAGAAGGGTTTCACGGCACTTTGCGAAACTCAACAGCTGCCCATGTTTTTGCACAACCCTCAAACCTAGCGGGCCCAGCGAGCATGCGTTGAAGCCTCTCTAAAGGTACCCGTACTGGGCATGCAGCATTTAGTTTGCTGAATGCAATAAACCCCACACCGCGGCCTCGATATAGCTGATGCGAACCCGCCACGACGCACCTCACCACATCTTGCGCAAATGGAAGAGCGTGTGCCGTTGAGATGCCTTTTAGGAAATTGCCATGCTTGCCGCAGCTGTTCCAGGCTGTAGAACCGAGAGCCGATAAAGCCTGACCTTCTGCTCGACATTGATCCAGTCGCTGAAACAATCCTGCGGCAGATTCGGAAACATTCACCACTTTCGCAGGTGCTAGATCTTGTCAAATTGGCGTGCTTTGCAAAGTCTCATCGTTTGGTCATTATGTCCTTCAGAGATCCGCGGCAGAAGGCCCCGATGTTCGTGGCTCTGCCAATCGCCATGCACGGTATGAGTTTTCCTCAAGACTCAATTGGGTCTGCTCTCTGCAGCGGATGCTGCAGGAGGTCTAAATGACTGTCTGGGAAAGCTAAAGATTATGCGAATGCTGAGCAAGAAGCCCGGTCCCGGTCTGCCCGTAGGCAATCAAGCAGCAGTTGAATCCTCCGCTCCGCCAGATTCATTCAGAAGATGTCACGCATTACGGGGTGAATGCCAAGCTCGAGGCCAGTCGTTCCGTGCATGACCATCTCTGCTCCAACACTGTTGTAGATGGTACCTGCCAACACGCAGTGGGCTCAAGACGGCCCATCAGCGTGCAAGCTCTGTCATCCCCTCGCCACTACCAGTCCGTCCACGTACGTTCGAACCGCATGCATACTTCGCACCACCCTTGCAGGGTCGATGTGCAGCACCATGATGCAGTTGACAGCCAACCGAAACGCCGAACTGCCAAGCAAAGCAAAATTCATCGGGCACGCTGATCTGAGTAATTGTCCGACTTGGGACGACCTCAGTTCGGAATCTCGACCATCAACCTGGAGAGTCCCGGAGTTCCTTCGCAGACTGAGACCGCAGCTGGAATCGAAGGCGAAGGTGCATTCAAACTCGCGCCCAGGTTGTTGTGGCTTCTGCAGTACATCCATGACTCAGAAAGCACAAGAGCAAGTAGCACATGCAGCTGCGCTCATCCACAAGACCAGCCTCTGGATCAGACAAAACCACATGGCCGTTGGGCTTCATCTGCCAAGTATTCAGCAAACACAAGCTACCCTACTGGTACAGTGTAACACGACCTAGACTAATTAGATACACATGAAGTCTGAAATCAAGGGCCGACGTTTACATGCACTTTTGTATGGCATGTGAACCGCATTGTGGAGGCCTCGACACAGCTCACGGGTGCGGTGCCCAACTGGCAGACAATTAAGCGAAGCACAGAACGAAGCACGCGAGTCTGCTCTTAGAATTGACGACTCCTGCAACTTCCGCCTTGCTCAATTCATTCGGAAGGAACGGCCGCAATCGCACAGCTGTCTGCACCTCGGGTCCGGCAAGCGGCAGCCAACATGCAGCTAAGTTCGCAAAGTTATCGGCCCCGCACGAACTCATTGGAAGCTCGGGGGCTCTTCTCGCTATGCCTCCCTGATTTGGTTGGAGAAACTGACCTGCGTGAGCCAGCACCCCAGTAATGTTGCAAATTTCCAGCAAATCTGTTGGCTTGCTCGGGCTAAAGATACCCCGTTTCCCTTGCTCCACGTGGGACCTTCGCCTAGGCGAGGAGTCGGCGCGGCTTTGGGCTCCCTTCACAGGGCATGCGTTCGGGAAAGGCATTGTGGGGCGCGCGGAAATCTTCAACTGTGACGAGCGCGAGAATTGCCGATGCCTGAGGGAAGAAAGATGACATGGCGATTGGCCATGGAAGCCCTGCACCTTGAATGGCCCCCGTGCAGAGGCAGAATCAGTAATGCCATGCAGATGTGCAGTGTTGCAGCTGTGGCCGGCACATCCCTCAAGGAAGGCAGGGCTTGATGAAGTCGATTAGCTTTGTGGAGGCAAAAAATGGCACACCAGATGGCAGCTCACAAACGGCGCTCGGCAAACGCCTTTTGTGGGCAACGGCAAGATTTGACCAACCCCCGAAACCAAGAACATGGCAGATCCTGCACAGTGTAGAAACCCGCGCACATCCCGAAATCTGAAAAGACGACAGAAGGTTGATCGTGGAAGATGCAAGCCTCAAAGATGCCTTCGCCGGCTTTGGGTACCTTCCTGCCGGCTTGCAGAAGCAAGATAGCAACAGAAACCGTCAGGAAGGATGCTGCACTTCATCATGCGCATGCAACGTACATTATCCGCGGCAAGGTCTGTGCGAATGGAACGGCACCTGTTGAACTAAACAGCTGTTTGGCCTGTGGCCTTCACATCCACTCCTGCTATTACTCTGAGAGGGTTGGCGAGCAAGCTGCAATGTCTTTGGGCTAAGCCTTCGATGCACGAGTGATTAGGCCGCAACACAGCGTGACGACGCAACGCGGCCTTGGCAAAGGCTTGAAGTACCAGACAACCAGGCGTCCATCCTGCATAGTCTCCAGCTTCTCCCAGATTGTGACGCGATGTGCTACGGCTGGTGAGCATTCATCCATATTCTCCCTGAGCACACCGATCTCCTCGGAGGAGGTGGCGACCAACCAATGCGGCTCGCTCGTGAATGACTGGCCGCGACAACAGCAAGAGAAGCAAGACCTCAGAAGAGCCACACAAGTCGGGCAGTTGCTTCATGTCAGAGTTGTCTGTAGCCCCTACCTTGCACGCAAAACTGTGGGCTAGTTGCACCAGGCTTATTATGTGCTTTTCCTGCAAGGTACCCTGCGCATAGCCCATGCTTCTGACAAGCACTTCTCTTCATTCGCAACAAGAGAAGGTCCCGGGGCATCTGCTGGAGAAGTCCTCTTTTCTTCGGCTTCCTCGAAAGGGACCGGCGAGTTTGGAATGGGCCCCTCGATTCCAGAAGCAAAACGCGCGATAATGCCTGAAAGACCGGACTGTCTTTGTTCTTGGGTATGGGCATCACCAAAACGCAGATATGCACTTGCTATTCAGCTGACGATGCTTCCAACATGCGATGTTCTGGATTCTTAGACTAGATTCTGCGCATCAGCTCCAAAATAAGTTGGGCTGCATCAAGCAGCAACAGGAGCTCTGGCTCTGACCGCCAGAGCAAAGTGCACAAGAAGGTCTGAGCACCAGGCCGCAAAGAAGGCACTGCCTCGTTTCGGGGCGCAACCGATGTAGCTGTTGGATGGTCGGGAGACTGCGATAGCACCGTCCAAGGTGATTCGATCCACCATATAGAGGGCACACTGGGGTCCCTGAACAGGACGTGAAGCCCGGGAGGCGCCTGCAGCGGCCTGGGGCCTGAAGCCTCGCTGGGTGCCGTGGAGACACCGGAAGCCAAACGGCTGCTGGCCTGGCTCAACAATCAGCGAGAGACCAGGGCGATTGTGGGCTGCGTCTTGCGCCGCACCGCCTACGTCGCTACTCTGGCCGGGGCTGTGGCTAGCAAATGCTAGCAATGTGGTAGTGGGTGCCGGCAGTCAGCATGAGATGGATGGCAGCTCTTACAGTGTAAAGAGCTGACCCCTGCAAAAGCTGACAGGCTCAGTCATGCTCCGTGGAGCCACTCCGAAAACGATCTGCTGCTGGTGCCTGCGTTGATTTGGTCTTGGGACTGTCCACCTCAGCCTCCACCTATCGTGTTGCCGACAACACACTTTGCAGGCTGTCGCTGAGTCTAGCCTCTCCTGCCCCCGACATCTTTGCAACGTGATGCGAAAAGACAGAGTCTGGAAGCTTGCCTCGGAGCTGTCAGACCTCGACTCTCGACCCAAAAACTCCAAGACGGCAAGGAGCAGGCGTGGCGGTGATCTCTACCAGCCGAATCCGACATGTCCGACACAGAGGCCCGGGCCCTTTCCAAAGCAATTCCTGAAGCGGGTGAGCACGCGAAAAGAGCATTGTCTTGCAAGGCTCCTAGGGGCCAACAGGTGCCTCCAAAGCCTCAGGGATGCGGCTGCTTCTCAGCAACAACGCCTGAGCCAGGGCGACATCAGTGGCCGCTCCCAATGCGTACATGCGTCCTGGATCGATCGAAACACATATCCATGCATCCATCGCTACACAAACACATTGTGTACACATGCACATGAACAGACACATCCACGAAATGTACACACACGTATACATGGGAGAGATGGAGAGATGGGCGGATGGATGCATGGACAGAGGTAGAGAGAGAGAGAGAGAGGCAGACATGGACAACGAAATAGAGAGACAGACAGACAGACAGACAGACAGACAGACAGACAGACAGAGGGAAATGGATGGATGGATGGATGGATGGATGGATGCAGAAGATACACGGAGTGGATATACGAGAGGTAACGGTAAGCATGAGTGAAGATGTTGCAGGATACCACATCCGAAACGTAGGACTTAGAGGCGGCTGGGTCCTGGCCATGCCTGGGAGATGGCCTCCGAATGTGCTTGCAGGACGTGCACTGGCTCGGTACTCTGCGTCCCGGGCCTCGGCTTCCACACGAGCCGAAAGTTTGACAGACCGGCAGTATAGCGAACAGACCTAGGGATGGTTGGAATCTAGAACCCAGTAATTGTTGCTGTAAAGACTCGGACAATGACTGCAGACTGCAAGTCCAGTCTTCCACTGTCATCAAAAGTCCAAGGTCTCGGCGAAACATCCCAGCAGCACACTGCACCCTTCCCATCAGCGCTGAGGAGGTAGGATGAGCCTCCAATGCTTGCATTGCTCTTACTGGCGTTGCAGGAAAGTGGCTCGTAATGACAGTCGGACTCTCAACGCGCGGGCGACAGGTCGAGAGTGAGCAGCATTGCACCGCAGCCAAGGTCAATGTAGGCTTTGGCCTTCCAACTCTGCGAGGGCCGTTACCTCGGCACTGACGTTCGAGACTCCAAGAGGTCAACTGCTGCAATCTGGCAAAGATGTCGCACAAGGCAGCTTCATGTTTGGTTGCTTTTCCGCACTGCATGTGCTCTTGCATTGGTGTCGCACCATCATCCGACATTAGCCCGTAGCCCGCACTGGTCACAAGGGAGATGCGGAAGGTCAGGCAATGCACAGGACCGAACTCGGCCCAGCCAAAAAACTCCACTCAGTGTTCGAATTAGGTCTTCGCTTCGAGTTTCTCCTCTTCGAACGAAATATCTTCCCACCAGCATAAATGCAATGTTTGCAAACTCGCGGTGATATGAGCGACTGACAATTCAGTCTCTTCCTGTTCCTAGGAGCTGGTCACGGAGCGGTTGTTCCTGCACGGGGTCATGAACGTCTCCTCGCTGGCCTCGCAGAAGGGGATACATGCACAGGCAGTCTTAGGAAACGAGTACCTCGCTTCAAGCGCACTGCGTGCGGTAAGGCAGCCTCGGATGTTCTCGACTTCTTTGAACCTGGGTGGCGCACATCGACTGCTCTGCCACTTGAGAGGCGGCAATCACGGCCCGGCCTGGTGCTGACAGGGTCTCCTGCACCAAAAGTCGAAGCTCTCGGCTGTCCAGCTGCAGCTCGCGAACCTGCCATCAAGGAAAGACATTTTGAAAGAGAAGACACCTTTTCTGAGTCCCTGCGGTACGCCACACGACTGGGGAGTTGTACAGCGTTTTGGCAGTTGTGACCATGCTCGCCTCAGGCAGCCTGGCCCACCGCGGTCATCCCTACCACAGGAATTTTCCCGTCTACTCACCTTGCGACTTGTCAGTACCAGTTGCATCCAGCACGATGAGACGCACCAGGCCACCAGGCAACATTACCGCAACGAGACACGCATGTTGAACACAGGCACCCCCCCGCCTTCGCCTGGAGTTCAATGACCATCGCCTCTCCCAGCTGCTCAGGAAAAACGGATACCACGGAGGCAAAAGAATCGTCGGGTGAGTCTTAGTTCCCTGGTGATGCTTGCGTCTTCGCCATCGGTCTCCAGGAAATTCCAGGCCTGTTCGCGGGTGTTTTCCGCCATCTTCACCAGACGCCGGCAGTGGTCCAGCAGCTCAGCGATGTCGTCGCGACAAGATTGCCTAATCTCTGCAAGTCAAGAGCATGGTAAGCTCCGTCAGTACCACGGCACGCCAGCGTGAAAGCAACTCAAAGCCTTACAGCATTTCACCGACCGCACTGCTCTCTCGCTACGGAGGACCGAGGCTGCTGCAGATCCTCATCTCTGGAGCTGATGTCGTGCATGTGCTGCTCGCACATGCCTTCAATGTCGGCTACGCCATAGGGTTGACGGTTCGGCAGACGAGTGGATACAAAAGCCGAGCTGCGCATGAGCCGTTGCACCCGATCCTTGGCTACTGGACGATGCCAAATCCTGTGGCCGAGCATCTAGGCCTCGGGCTTCCGAAGAGGTCTCCAAGCATGCTGCACCTGGCAAGATCAGCACCATCGCGGCTTGCTTTCGTCAATGATGGGTGCTGTGGGTCTCGAATGGCAGCGATCGCATGACTTTGTAACGAAGCCACTCCAGAGTCAGATTGAGTTCAACTCAACTCTCTCGCCAGGGGGTTCGATGCATCATGGGACTGTTTGCTCGAAGCTAAATCTCAGAGGCGGGTCGGTTTGGAGCAGCATGTCCCTTGTCCTGGAGAATCGCCAAAGGAACTAACCGACTGGTTCGAGTTGCGAAATGTATGGACCAGGAATGGACTCCGGAGCAAATTCCATAAGTTGATAAGTGAACTTCACTCTACTCTCTGGGTCTCCCACGATCGCAAGCCTCGCAGCGACGACCCTGGCAAGGCTCTGCTTGCAGAATCGTTGCTGCCAGCAGTGCAGCATGCAGAAAAGCAAAAACTGCTCCGGCCTGAGAAGATCGGTCCCAGCACTCTCTTGCAACCCAGACCAGAGATTGGCCCATGCTGCCTGGTTACAGCAGCCATCGACGTGCAAACGGTGACATTGCAGCAACGGGCCTTCGCTTTTGCCGCCTCTTGGGCGGAGCTGCAGAGGACGGCAAGCGGCTCTGCAGAAAGAAAGCGCAGCTGCTAGCTTTCTGACAAGTAGTGTTTGGCATCAAACAAACGGGCCAATAAAGTGAAACATAACCGATGCACGAAGCCAAAGAGTGAGTTATGCCATGCATTCTGACTCTGGCTGCTGGCTCCTCTGAGCTGCTGCAGGTCGAAGGACTGTTGCACGCAAGACTGGCAATGCTGTGCAAAGTCTTAGCCTGAGAGCTAGGCATTGAAGGATGGATGCCTCGACAAAGTTCACAACTTTGCAAGCACACCAACCCCAAAGATGCCCGCTCTGAAGTCTGAGCAGCAGGCAGCACCAGCCCAGGTTGCACCGCCTTGCCGAAATTGTGCGGCAACGACTTCTTCGCAAAGTGGCTTTTGTATTTGGATCCTGCCTGCGGAGGTTCTAAGGCCTGGCCGAGACAGGCAGGGCCATTGCGGTCACATCTACCAAGCCAGCGCTCCAGTCTCGCCTTGGCCATGGCCTGCCCCCGGCCCCGCACGCCGCAAACGGCAGCGCTCGAGGCCCTCGGAAAGCCCAACTCAGGAGGTCGGCGGGCGAACGTGCACGCGCACGCTCCTCAGCAGCCTCAGGTCCGAGCGTCCTGTCATCAGCTCCAAGCAACCTCCGCCTGAGCCTAGTCCCCTTGAGCCTAGCACTGCGGACAGCATTTACTGCCTTGACCGGCCGTGCGTACAACGAGCAGACACAGGTCTTCGCAAACGTCAGCACAAGAACCAACGCGAAGAAGTCATGTGTCACCCTTGGTGAGACGGCGAGCGCGCGGCCCTCTTGCCACGTCTTGAAGCGAAGAAAGTCGCTTCCTGGCTCTCCAAGTCGGCATCACCGAAGAGATTCTGCTTCACACACTTCAGGATCCTGTGCACGAACCTCAGCTGCCTGAGAAGCCCAGGACTTTGGGGCCCTCTCACATCTGGCGACGAGTTACCACCTCACCGCTGCAACTCAATCATTCCCTTGACCTGACACTGGATCCTGAGTCCAGGCATGTCGTGACAAATTCTCCACGCTCGTGTCTTGTGCTCTGCCCAGTCTTCACAACACCTATTCATCGCTTTTACTTATGATAGGCAAGCTGCGTACATCTTTCCTCAGCTTGCTCAGTTGGCAATGCCGCCGGCATGAGCAGAATTGTTGGAAAAGCCTGTCTGCAACCACGCGGCCTTTGGCCGGATTTATTGCCAAACCTGCCGACAGAGGGACATGGCTGCTTGTGGACATGTGCAACAGCTTGGAGCAAGCAGCGCAGAAGCTGTATTGCACGAAGTTCGTGCCTGTCTTGTCGTCGATGTAGCTGCCGTCGTCCACGATCTGTCCCGTAGTGGGATCGATCTCCTGAAGGGGAAATCATGAGCAATTGAGTGACCCACCGAAGACAAAGTGCCTGCTAGATGCAGTAGTCAGCTGTTGACTAGTTTTCCCACCCGCCTAGCTGACTAAGGTTGCTGAAAGGGTTTGGCATGTGACATGCCCGACAGCGTGCGAAGTTCCACTATAGCTTTGGCTGCAGACTGTGGTCCTCCCCCGACTTGCCGTCGATAATGTTCCCTTGGCTATGACGGCTATGATTGAGGCGTTCGGTTCGGACATGTATTGACGCCCCCTACCAACGTTGATACAGTTTCAGGACAGAAGTTGACAACTGGCAATGCTGGCTGCGCAAGGTCTGACATATGTTCACACATTAATCGGAACTGAGCGACCGGAGTCCGGATCCACAATGGCCTCATGCGGTATATTTATTCGATTGCGGAGAACTTTTTTCCAGCCACACGACACACAAGAAATTTTGAGATCTGTGCGGCGAAGAGGCGTCCTTCAATGCTTCATCTTTCTTCTGCATCTCAGTCTTCTCGCTTTCCTTGCCTTCGTGCTCGCCCTCCTTTCCTTCATTGTTCTCTCCATGCTGGCCCTCTTTTCCTTCATGGTGCTCCCCCTCCTCACCCTCCTTGCCTTCTTGGTGTTCTCCGGTCTCGCCTTCTTTCCCAGCCCCCTCGTGCTCACCCTCCTTCCCAAGATGTGCCGCAGGGTCGTAGTTCTCGCCCTCTTCTCCGGCGTGTTCTGCATTGTCCCCATGCTCACCCTCGTCATACCCCATGTTCGCGGCGGGGTCGTGATGGCCGTGGTGTTCGCCCTCTTCACCTGTATGTTCTGTATGGTCCCCGTGCTCCCCCTCATCGTAACCCATGTTCGCGGCAGGGTCATAATGGTCGTGGTGCTCGCCCTCTGTATGGTCCTCGTGGTCACCCTCATCGTACCCCATGTTTGCGGCGGGGTCATAATGGTCGTGGTGCTCGCCCTCTTCACCGGCATGTTCTGTATGGTCCTCGTGGTCACCCTCATCGTACCCCATGTTCGCCGCAGGGTCGTGATGGTCGTGGTGCTCGCCCTCTTCACCAGTGTGTTCTGTATGATCTGCATGCTCACCCTCACCGTACCCCATATTCGCGGCGGGGTCGTGATGGTCGTGGTGCTTGCCCTCTTCACCAGTGTGTTCTGCATGGTTCTCGTGGTCAGCCTCATCGTACCCCATATTTGCGGCAGGGTCGTGATGGTTGCTGTGATCGTCCACGTCTGCCTGGCGGTCGTGTTCGCCCTCAGGGTCTGCACGGTCCTTGTGTTCATCTTCGTACCGCATGTGGGCGGCAGGATCGTAGCTCTCGCCCTCTTCCCCGGAATGTGTTGAATGCTCGTGGTGTTCAGCAGCATACCCCATGTGGGCTCCGGGGTCGTGGCGACCGTCCTCTTCGCTGCGGTGTGCTGAATGATCCTCGTGCTCACCGTCGTTCCTCATGTGAGCTGCAGGGTCGTAGTGGGCATCACCTGCATCTGCAGCATGACGGCCTTCCAATGAGCGGGGCCTATCATTGCCAGTGTCTACCACAAGTAATACTTACTTGCATCGAACGCCCCTCAGCCAAGCTACCCTGATCAAGACTGAGTGCTTAAGGTCCAGCCTTCCAACCCGAAGTGCGTGGCCACGGCGGTGATGCTGTGGCCACTGGGGCCTGCACGGCCCTGGCCTGTTTGAAGAAGGGACGTGGACGTGGCATCCTCGCGAGTTGCATCCCTGACGCCGTCGTCGACCCCGTCCGCCGCCCAGCGGGACAAGTCCGGGGAGTTGGCTCCCAAACGTGTGAGCCACTTGGCTGCCAGTGTGGCGATGCGCTGCAAAGACTCCGGCAGATCGGAGTTCAGGGCTGGCAAGGGGCTTTCCTCACCGACACCCAAGCCGTCCACGAACTCGAAGGACGCCTTTACACCCCTCGAAGGAGCCCGAAGAACCCTTGCAGGCTGAAGTTCCTGAAGTTCTGTGAAGAGGAAGCTCAGGCTCTGGAGTCGTCGAGTTGGGGCCCCGACCGCGGCCCCGTGCAGCAGCAAAGCGTCCAACCCTGACACACCATCCATCCCAGGACCATGCTGCTCGTTCTGCTCCAGAACGTCCACGCTTCTCGTCATCACCTCCGGCGCATGCTCCCGAACTGCTGGACCCCCACAAGAAGTTTCCCGCTGTCTTGCCCGAGCCACAATGCTTCTGTGGGGTGATCGAGGTAATGAAACATGAGTCTAACTGCACTGCCCCATTCAAAGTGATGCACATGTGTCACTCTGAACAGCCAGTAATAAGAGGCTGGATGCATGGAAGGCAAAGCATTAGGAAACAGCAGGCCACGCATGCCTTGAAAGAGGTGGCATAAGCTTGAAGGGTTCTGGGAAACACAGGGTTCGTTAAATCACCAGAATTAAAGTCTAAAATGATATGTGGGGCTTTAGCTGCTGTAATCTGTCATTAGGGTGTGCAGGAGAGTCGTGCCGGCACACCAACAGACTCGTCTAAGCAGCACTACCGATGAGTTGTTAAAGACCGGGCGGCTGTCGTATGTGTATGAGAATCTGCATGCTTATGTTCGAGAACGGCCAACCTTTGGATTGATGATGGACATGAGCAGTTTCCCGAATGTCGAGTGGTACAAATGAATCCCGGGCACGCTGTGTCTCCCCTGTACTGCACTTGCAAGAAAGAAACAGGACGATGAGAGCGAAGCGTCATCTTCCTGTGTCTGCCCTTTTTTCCCGGTGGACCCGATCATCCAAAGATGTCTTTGTCGTACCTTAGGGGTGAGACTTTTTCTTCGGAGAGGCCGTTTCCATAGAGCTCCACACTTCTCTTCATCGTGGCGATTGCTAATGCCATGTCGTCGACCTGACATGATAGCAGCCACTGAAACCGCATGTCGGTTCGTTTTCAGCCCCACATGGGTGCGGCTGTGGCCTTGTAGACTCCAGTGCCCGAGACAATCATGTTGGCACCCGCTTTTGCAGCTTCATCTACAGTGTGCACCTTGACGCCTCCATCCACCTCAATTTCCTCGGACCCACTCACAATATGCGGCCCAACGACTCGGGCGTTCTGTGCTCAGTGGAACAGGCATTTGCGATTAAGCCAAGCCGCCTTGTCTGGATACCTCGAACGCACGTATCGAACTTTCCTTGCAACAGCGAACTTAAGCTTGCACCGTTGCAGTCATGACATGAGCCGGTGGTGGTTGGATCATGGCTGGCTCCCAAGCCGAGTTTGCAAGCGAAGTTGCTCCATCATGTCTACCATGAAAGACTGCCCGCCCTTCCCCGGCACAACTGTCAGGATAAGCACCACGTCCACCTGAAGCTTCGAAGCTCAGAACGTGCCTACAGGCCTACAGTGCAGCTGTGGACCGTCAGAAGCCGCCTGATGAAGGTAAGGTTCCAATTGCCTGGACAAAAATGCATGTACTGGTAGGCCGTCGCCTGTCTAAACAGCGTATCATGACGCCACAACAAAAGCTGAGGAGCTCAATCGGCGTGGCTGGACTTAGCGCAAGTCCCACCAGCATTCCTAACTTCCAATTCATCATGCGCATGGAATTGCCAAAACTACTATTGTGGTCACGACGCCATGCTTCCGCACCAGGTCGATGATGGTCTGTGTCAGTCCTGCACAGCGGACAGCGCCGAAACGGCTTCCGTGTACTTCGGTTCGAGACGGCTCAACATCCTCTGGGCTCTGTGGCTTCAATGTGAAAGATGAACTGCATCAAGTTCTTGCCCGTGTCCTGGGCGGAGAGACTCAACTCGAAGAATGCTTACGCTTCCAGCTGCTAGACACTTCTAGGCTTCTGGACCTCTGAGCCTTTCAGCCGACTTGTGTTTTGACCTTATGTTTTTCTTAAGTCTCCCACATTCTCCCACTCTCTAACCGTCTGTCAGCCAAATCTCGAAACACTGCCGCTTTTGGAAGCTGTTTAAGGTGCTGTTGTGGGCTTGGGTGCTTTCGGGACTCTCTTCGGCATGGTCGACGCTGGAGTTTCGGCGCTTAGGCGATTTTGGTGTTTCTCCGGCAATGCAGCCGCTCAGGGGCGTCTCGCTGCCGAGCGTCTGGATGGACGGCTTTGGCCTCGGCGAAGGCCTCTACTTGCTCCTCGGGCTTCTGGACCATCAAGTGACAGTCAAAGAAGACCTGCAGGCAAGTCCCACAGGGTTCAAGGCAGCTGCAGCCCGAAGCTGCAACGGCTCAACCCAGCTAAGATGAAGCTACGCTCAAAGAAGGGGCAAAGCTGAAGTTCCCAAATCCGTACCTTCGGGTGATGCAGGCGCAAGTTGGCGATTACCTTCGGTCCGAAAGAGATGGCCGGAACCTTGCAACTGCCATCTACCATCTACCACACACGATGCAATCAGATGCATGCTGCAATCGAAGTTTCGATTCCAGAACACGAAGATCAGGCTGGCAAAGTTTGTAGAACTGTCGGGAGTTTGAGTTTTCCATTCGCACACTGCTGAAGCAGATCTGGCATCCAAGGTGCAAAATTACCATCCATTACATCCAAGTGCAAGTAGTCGGCACCGGCTCGTAAAGCACGACCAGCCTCAGGGGAGTGCAAACGTGAGCCACCAACCCGTTACCAGACGATCATCTAGATTCCCCGCTTCCCCTTGCCCCGTTGATACTGGGTGGGACTTTTTCGGAAACCTGCAAAAATTGATGCGCAACCTGCAATCGGAAGAAGTACGCATTCTTGGTTACACTTTTACCTCTTGCCGCAATCAAGCCCGAAAAGCCTCTGTGGCCAGCATGGAAGAGTCGCAATCCAGTACCTCAAAAGCTGCCATTGACACGGCTGTGTGCTCCTAGCACAACAAGGGAATGACTCACTACACATACCCGGTGTCTGAGAGTGCGGACGTGTCAATTCTGTAATAGAGAGCACGCCAAGTGCTGCGACAGTTGGTGGGAAAGGTTTACAAGTTGCAAGCTCAACGCCGAAGTGCGGATGGACCAATCTTTGCGACGCAGCCATGAAATGCCGACGCCGGCCTTGCGCACGACAGCTTCTCTTTCGAGACTGCACCAAGCCAGCCTAATCTGCTGGCCTGGAAGCCTGGCTGTATCCGGCAGAAACCGCCATGGCAGTAGAAAAGCACTGCGAATCCTTTCAGCTCGTCCTTGAGGGTACATAATTGGCCGACGAGGCAGACTTTCACACGTTCGAAATGCGGAGAGCGCGGGGTGAGAGTCTGGAGCAACTTCAGCGTGCAGTCTATTTTGCTGGAGGTATCCTAGGTGATGGAAAAGCCTGTAGCGACTTTGCGGCCTCGGTGGCCCCAGTCGCACTGCTACAGTTTTTTCTCGCGCAAGTTTTCAAACATCTCTGACCGCAACCTGCTTCCAGGGTTGGATGGAGTCCGGATGGAGCAAGTGTCAAGAGTTCGGCCTGTATCTTGCCATCCTAGGATGCCGAGCTCGACAACTTTGACAATGTGAATTACGCGAAGAATTATCACTTCGCATTGCATGTGTATCGACAGATATGTACAGGGTTGCTGACCAAGCAAAGGTCGCGAAGGCACGGCCGCACCCCAGTGTCCGACCGGGTGCAGCACGACCGACCTGGTCTTCTCGAACATGTGGCCCGCAGGCCAGAAAGGGCTAGCTGCTTAGAAGATATGCCCCCACAGGCATTGCAGGCAGCTCTCGTGTCAAAGAGATATTGCCGGCCACAAAATAGGAGTCAGCCTGCAGCAAGCTTGAGATCGACCCTCACACAAAAGGCGTCTCACCCAAACAGAGCTGCCGCTATCGAAATCGGATTGAGCACCAACTCTGCAACTGACCTGGCACTGGTGCGCAGGTTCCCAGTTCTAGACGCGCGGGACTGGGGCTTGTGTTTGCCCCTTTCCAAAGCTCCAGATGCGAACATGTGCACGTCAGTGCATCGCCATGGCCCAAGCCTTTAACTGCTGGTTACTTCAAGGAGGCCTGGAATATGAAAGCACTGAGCACTGCACAGGTTCCTTGCTATCTCCCCGTGGCCTGTGCAGTCGGGCGGCCTCTCTGCCAGATCCCCTTTTGCCAATCGGAATACCCTCCACCCGAGGCTGTGCATGCTCTAGGCAAAAGCGTGACGGGGCATGAGCAAGTCTCATCACATGCATGCTGCCACAGCTGGACGGGATCACACTGAATCCCCATTTGGGGCTTCATGTCTTCACCTTTGGCTTGAAAGTGTGTCGGGGATGCTGGAAGGATCGGCTGCCCGACTCAACGCATCTGCTCCCGTCTGTACTGGGAATCAAACCTGCCAGGAAATCTCTAAGTGCCTGTCTGTAGGGCTGTGTACTGGCCTGGGCATGTACACCAGCTGTAATGACACGAAATTCCCGGCAGGAGTGGGGGCAGCTTATGTTTATTTTAATTTCAAAAAAGCAAAATGGAACGCGGCCGTCTGGTATTGAGTCTCAGACCGAGTTTCTGCCAAGACCTCTAAATTTTCTTCATGGATGCCGTGCAGGGAAAACTTGAATTAAAGGGCAAATCTACAAGTAGTGGCAAGCGAGCAATTGCGCAACAAGAGCTCAACTATCATTGCCCGTCCTGGCCGATGCATCTCCGGCACAACTCAACGTGGCCCGAAACTTATCTGCCATTTCTGACCATGCAATAGATTATGTGAGTGCGTGTAAACCTGCCTCTACACTTGCAGATGCGCACCCTCGTTCAACACGGTAGCACCGTCACTTGCGCCCA